TTATTAGTTGACCATATATGTGTGAGAGCCCAAGCTCTCAATTCTGTTCTATTGGCCTATGTGTCTGTTTTTATGCCAGTACCATACTGTTTTGATTATACAGTTTTGTAACATAGCTTGAAATCCAGAAGTATAGTACCTCCTGCTTTCCTCTTCTTTCCCAGGATTGCTTTGGCTATTTGAGGTCTTTGTGATTCCATATGAACGTTAGGATTGCTTTTTCCATGTGTGTAAAAAATGCCATTGGAATCTTGATAGAGACTCCATTGAATCTATTGATGGCTTTGGGTAGTATGGACATTTTAATAAAATTAATTCTTCTAGAATATGAACACGAGACATTCATTTATTTGTGTCTTCTTCAAATTCGTTCATCAATGTCTTGTAGTTTTCAAGATCTTCCACCTCCTTGGTTAAGGTCTTTGTCTTTGAATTTCAGCAGTTTTATTATAATGTGTCTTGAGGAAAGTCTGTTTGGATTAAAATAATGGGGTGGTCTATTAGCTTCGTGGACTGCAACGTCCAAATCTCTCCCCAGGTTTGGGAAGTTCTCCGCCATTCTTTCTGTAAATAACCTTTCTGCTCCCTTCATTCTCTTTTCTTCTGGAACTTCAATAATTCAGATACTAGTTTTTCTGATGGTGTCCCACAGATCATGTTGGCTTTCTTTACTCTCTTTCATTCTTAGTTTTCTCCTCAGACTGGGTTATTTCAAAGTTCCTATCCTCTATCTCACTGATTCTTCTATTTAGTGTCCTCTATTCCATTTTTCATTCCACTCATGAATTTTTCAGCTCCAGAATTTCTGTTGATTGCTTTTTATCTCTTTGTTAAATTTCAATCTTTTTGTTCACTTTTGATTGCATATTGTTGACTTGATTTCATTCGTCTTTCTCTGTTGTCTTGTAGGGCACTGAGTTTACTTAAAACAGCTATTCTGAGTTCTTTATCAAGTAAATCACAGATCTCCACGTCTTTGGGTTCAGTTACTAGAAGATTATCATGATCTTTTGTGACTTCATGTTTCTTTGATTTTTCATGTTCTTTGGAGTTCTGCGTTGTTGGATTCAAATTTGAAGTAGCAGTCACCTCCTCCAGCTTTTACTAAATGGCCTTCAGGGCAGCAATTCCTTTCATCAGTCCTGCTGTAGATTCTGAGGCTTCCTCTGACCTTGGATGGATACCCCTGCTTCTCATTTCTTGATCCCTCCCCTCTTATGGCAGAAGTCTTAAGCTTCTGTGTCTTCTCTCAATCCTACTAAGCACCAGACAGGTTGCTGGTAGCCTCTGCCGTTTCCCCGAAGGTGGCACACAGACCACGTCTGTGATTTCTCCTTTGCCTGCAGACCCTGGCCTGCCTTCTGCCTGTGCTCCCCACCTACCAGAGCTTGCTCAGCCCACTGTATGCACAGGGAGCCCACTGCAGAGTGCTAGGAGCCGTGGGGCTGCCTGAGGGTCACTTGGGGAGTGGGGATCTGTGGGTGGTATTTCCCCTGCATCTCGTGGGCAGGCTTCCTGAGTCCAGAATGGAGTCAGCAGGGAACCTCGTACCCCACTCTCTATCTGCTCCTTCCTCCATCATGGCTCTCCCTCTTCAGTGTTCTGAATGCTGCAAGAGAGAAATGAGTCTCTCTGGCAGCATCCTGCACAGCTCAGGGAGCCAGGAGTTCACTCACTGGCTCTCCCTTTCCCTGATGGGAGAAATCACAGGCCATCTAGTTTAGCCCTAAGCTGTGCGGCCTTGGGTGATGCCAGCAAAGATAAGCTGTTCCTTTTACCCTCTAATGTGTCCAAGCTTGTGGGGTTTTTTCCCTCCAATGCAGTGCTGGAGCTTCTCTGGAAACCTTGACTTCCGCAAAAGCTCTCTTGCCTGAAGGTGACCACCCACGTCAGTGTTGTGCAGAAGCTCCCAGGCAGCGGCCAAGAGGGGCTGGAACCAGCTCACAGTGTCCTGTAGGTTCCACAGCTGGTGCCACAGTCTGTCTGCCTATCACCTGATGCACTGGTGGGTGAGATTCCTTCTGGGTCCCTTGGTGTATGGTGCTTGGTTCCGCAAATTCCACAGAGGCACTTCTGCTTACGGATGGATGCCAAATTTTTGTTGTTGAAGGGGAGAACAAACTAAACTAAAAGTACCATTAGCTCTAAAAAGTCTCAACAACAAACAATTCTTAATCTTTTCAAGTATTTAGAGAGTACTTACGTTTTACACATCACGATAACCTTATATATCCTTTAAGTATCTTTTGGCCTGCAAGTTCCTCTTTCTACATCTTTTACTTGCATCTAGTATAATTTATGACACATAGATAGATGATGCCCAGTATATGACAGCTATATAAAACTGACTTTAGAAAAAATCAAGACCATTAATGAAAGGGTAATCCATAAAGTACATACAAATAATTCCAACTGCAAAATTTGTATTATAAACTGTCACAATCAACTCACTGATGGATGGACAGTAGTTCAGATCCCAAACGTATTCCATGATAATACTAAGAGACACAACTGGTGTAGCTGTAATAATATCAAACAAAGGAGGCGACGTACAAGAAGTATTTGTAGCCCAGTTAAAGAAGAATATTTTACAATGGTGAAAGAGTCCACTTCATGGAAAAATATGACAATCTTAAATCTGTGTGCATCGAATAAAACAGCATCAACTTATGTAGTAAAAATTGACAAAACTAGAAGCATAGAGAAATCCACAATCATTGATTGATATTTTTTAACACATCTATCTCAAAAATTGATAAAACAATCAGATAAAAAATACTGACAGAGAGAAGATTTAAACAACACAATAATAAATTTGACTAGCTGACGTTTGTAGGGTGCAATAGTCTACACCCAACAACTGCACCCAACAAATGCAGAACACACATTATTTTCAAGTAAACATAAAATAATTAGAGAACTATTTATTGGGCAATGTTTCAACAAACGCCAATGAACTGAAATCATACTATCTGTACTGTGTCCACGTGCAATTAAGCTAGAAATCAATAATTAAAAAGCTAGAAAGTCTCCAAATGTTTGCTAATTAAGCAACTACATACATATGTATATATACACATATATACGTATATACACATACATACACACAGATATATGCATATGTATATACATGTGTGTATTATATATACATTATATATATTATATGTGTGTATATATCTTTCCTTTTGGTTTCACTTAACATCGTATGGTGTTTTCTCACATATTTTTGCTCATGGACATTGACTCTCTTGACATGTTATTCACACGACGCATGAAACTGCAGGGAAGCCAAAATTATACAGATCCTAGTAAAAGGAGGATTGAGTGGGTAAAGGAAAGCATTTGTACCGCTGCCCCTTCCAGGCTTCTTCCACTGGCTCCTTTGGGTCTCTTTCTCGGTGTCTCAAGCCCTCTCCTTTTCCAAGGCTTCATAAAGGATCAAACATGCACTTTATCTGGACTTTTGCCTGCTCTCATGAAAGGGAAATTTCTTAGAGGGAAGCAGGATAGAACCCCGTGCTTTAATTTGCTGGCTCTCCCAAAGGAAAGCGGAGGACGAAAACAGGAATTCGAGGGAAATAACACTGAGCTGATTTCACACGGTCCTCAGAGATGAGGTGCCCAAGGTGAGGTCCTCTTAAATGAGGAAGACTTGGAGGCTCCCGGAGCGGGGCCTTGGCAACACTGCTGCGACCGCGGGGTAGTTCTCTTCAGGGCAGAATCGGAAACACTTTATTTTTATGTATATATTTATAAATAAATATATTTTTTTTTCCAGAAAGCAAGCCTTAAGTATCTCAGATTGTCGACCATGACGTGTTCCTAACAACCTTATAAACTTGTGGAGGCCAGAGTCATAGAAAATGGGTTGCATTTGAAGACTGCGTGCACGTTCCCTCTGTATAGCCTTGCAATATGAATGTAACTTAACATTTTAAATTACATAAGCCCACTGGGGGTACGGTGTTAAAAAAAACTGGAACGGGAGCCTTAACTGCCTTGCGCTCCTTTTCAAATAGACCCGGCAACACCTTACCTTTGCTTTCCTTTCATTTAATTAACAGGAGCGCTTTTCATGAATTCAGACGGAGTGAGGTCACACTGGCGGAACGAAGAAAGTTAGTCCTTAATTTCCGGGTGAGGCTGTTCCCGGCTGCTCTGCTTGGGGCGGGGCGCTGGGGGCGGGACGAGCCGAGGCGCGGGAGGCCGGCTCCCGGCGCGCGCAAGGGGCGGGGCCGCGCGGCCCGCGGGCGCCGCTGCCTTCCCCGCCCCCGGAGCGCTCCGGGAGCCGCAGGACCGACCGTGCCGGGACCGGACGGGGGAGGCAGCGGTTGCTGTTGGGCCCGCTCTTACCCGGGGCGCACGGAACCGCGGGTCCCCGAAGCTGGCCGCTGCCGGGCTCGCTGGGGTGACCGGGGCTTCCGGGGACCGGGCGGGGGCCAGAGCTGGGCCAGTGGGTTTGTATTTTTCCCCTGAGGGTAACGTTTGCTGGAGCCAGCGGGTCAGAATAAGAGTTCAACAGGTGGCAGAAAGTGGTTGTTTGAACAAAACCCTGCCTCCTCCAAGCTCTGGACCCTAAATCCCCGCCCTCAACTAGAAAGGTGTTGACCAGGAACTGAGATACCGAGATAGTTACAGGATTAGATGTTGTTCAAGTTGGAAGGGACTGAGAATTGACTTGGTCTAATCTCTTCATTTCAGACATGGGGAATCTAAAGCCCAAGAAGGAGAGGTGATGGAGGTTGATTCCCATGGAAGATTAATAAAAGAATCTACCACCTCGGGAAAAGACAAAGCAAAACAAAACAAAAAACAGGTGGCAGAGAGCGATCACGTGGGGGCAGGTTGGGCGGCGAGCCGCCCCCTCGCCTCGGAACCGCCCTTCGGTGCTGCCCGTCGTCGACGAGCCTAGCCGGCGTTCTCCGCTCCGCTCTGCGGCTCCGGCGTCCGCGGCGCCCGTGCGCTGAGAGGCCGGCGGGAGCGCGCCGCCCCGGGAAGGCCGGAGACGGGCTCGGAGCGCGGCCGCGAGCGCCCTGGCGCGGGTCGGGTCCCCGGGACCGCGGAGCCCCGCAGGGAGGCGGCCGAGGGGACCGAGGCCCTGGCCCCGGCCAGGATGCACAACGCGTCGTCCTGGGGCCCGGAGCACGCCAACACGTCGTGCCCCGCGCCCGCGCTCGGCTGCCCCAACGCGTCCGGCCCGCTGCCGCCGCTGCCGCCGCCTCTGGCCGTGGCCGTGCCCGTCGTGTACGCGGTGATCTGCGCCGTGGGGTTGGCGGGCAACTCGGCCGTGCTGTTCGTGCTGCTGCGGGCGCCCCGCATGAAGACCGTCACCAACCTGTTTATCCTCAACCTGGCCGTGGCCGACGAGCTCTTCACGCTCGTGCTGCCCATCAACATCGCCGACTTCCTGCTTCGGCGCTGGCCCTTCGGGGAGCTCATGTGCAAGCTCATCGTGGCCATCGACCAGTACAACACCTTCTCCAGCCTGTACTTCCTCACGGTCATGAGCGCCGACCGCTACCTGGTGGTGCTGGCCACGGCCGAGTCGCGCCGGGTGGCCGGCCGCACGTACGGCGCCGCGCGCGCCGTGAGCCTGGCCGTGTGGGGAGTCGTGACGCTGGTCGTGCTGCCCTTCGCCATCTTCGCCCGGCTGGACGACGAGCAGGGCCGGCGCCAGTGCGTGCTGGTCTTCCCGCAGCCCGAGGCCTTCTGGTGGCGCGCAAGCCGCCTCTACACGCTGGTGCTCGGCTTCGCCATCCCCGTGTCCACCATCTGCGTCCTCTACACCACGCTGCTGTGCCGGCTGCGCGCCATACGCCTCGACAACCACGCCAGGGCCCTGGAGCGCGCCAAGAAGCGGGTGACCGTGCTGGTGGTGGCGATCCTGGCCGTGTGCCTCCTTTGCTGGACGCCCTACCACCTGAGCACCGTGGTGGCGCTCACCACCGACGTCCCGCAGACGCCGGTGGTCATCGCCGTCTCCTACTTCATCACCAGCCTGAGCTACGCCAACAGCTGCCTCAACCCCTTCCTCTACGCCTTCCTGGACGACAGCTTCCGAAGGAGCCTCCGCCAGCTGCTGGCGTGTCGCGCCGCCGCCGCCTGAGCCGGCGCGCCGGGAGCCAGCGGCCCGGCGCTCAGGGTGGTCCCTGAGCCGCAGCTTCGGCCCCCGCCCACCAGCTCTCTAGAGATGCAGGTTCTCGGGCCCCTGCCCAGGCCCCGCGGACTCGGACGCGCTTTGGCTGCGCCCGCCCTTTCAGTGTGCCAAGCCCTCCAGGTGGTGCGGAGGCGCGCAGGACATGGGGACCGGCCGAGGCGGCGGAGAGCGCACGGACCTCTCCCTCTCCCTAAGGCCCAAGGGCGCCGAGGCGACCCCCGAGCTTGACACGGAGGGGAGGAAGGGGAGAAAAGGGGGCAATACTGCAGAGACCCTCTTCCGGTTCCCCCCGCCTCCCGCCCCAGCCGTGCGCAGGCCGGCTCTTCGTGGAGCCCTCGGCGCTCCCTCGCCGCGGAGGTGCGAGGGGAGAGATGCTAAGGCCGCCCGGGCCTTTGACGGGGAAGACAGCTCGGGTGGCGGGTCAGGAGTGAGTGTGTTAAGTGTGTGTGTGTGTGAGTGTGTGTGTGTGTGTACGCGCGCGTCTATGCGTGCGCGCGTCTAGCAGAGGCCGGGGCTTTGGATGCAGGGGGATGGAAATTGGCTGTGATGCCTACACAGCAGTGATAAGAATGGTGACAACCCCCTTCCTGTCCCAGCCTCTTCTTTCTTTGCCTTTCCGCTTTCCCACCCACGCTGTCCCTGCGGGGACCCGGCCGCCGGGCTCGGGAAGGGCCTGGAGTCGGATCCCCGGCCGGGTTGCGGCGTCCCCTGGCGGAGCCAGCTGCGGGAGCCGAGCATCCAAAAACAGCGCTGGATGTGCAGGTGAGCGCACCTGCGAAACCGCTCTTTCCGTGGCTGGGTTACTTGTCATCGCTTCTCTCTCCAGAGGGCTCCACTCCCCTCCACACACACCAACGCCCCTGTGCCCCCGTCGACCTAGTACAGCTTGGAGCAGTTCGTTGCAATTCTTAGTGTGCAATTGCTTTTGAAGACCGAGAACTTTATGTGTGCCCTAATCTCACGTTTTGGGCGAGTTAATGAGATGAGGAGATGCGTATCCATCCTCCGTTCCCCTCTTCCTCATATTCCTCTTGCTGTTCGCCTCAGGGGACCCAGGGAGCTGAAATGACCGACGCCCTCATGATAACCTCTCCTGGTTCCCTTTCCACAGGGAACTGTGGATTATTTGTACTTTATTTCTTCGTCCCAGACGGCAACTGGGAGATGTCTGGTCTCACAGGGAGACCAGACAGCACCCTATATTTTATCTCTACTTCTGGGAGACAAAAGTGGATTAAGAGAGAGGACTGACATTGGCTTTGCCCAGCCATCTGCAGTTTACACTTCAGACCTGAGGGCAGAGCTTTAACCAGACTACAGTCATTAATGAGTGTTTTAAAAGATATTTTTTTCCCTTTGGGATGAATTCCAAACAGGAATGAAAATTTCTAAAAGTATTTGTTTCCCAGGGTCAGTGTTATATGTGATAAAAATTATGAGTGTTGCTGGCAGAATTTGTTTACTTAGTTTGATGGCCATTAACCACATTCTCAATTACTTATCTTCAAAATACTTCTAACAAAATAAATGAAAAGGAAATCTCTCCCTTGGGTTTTTCCCAAGGAAGAAGCTAACTCCCTTGCTGATTTTCATGAATAAGAATTGCTTCCTTAGCTCTCAGAGTAATTAGGAACAATGCGATACTTCATAGCTATCAGTTTAGAAAATGTAAATTTAGAAACCCACCTTGGGTGACAAATAATAGTAAAATTTCCAAAACATGCTTTTCCATCTCCAGTGCATTTTGAATGATGTACATCATGGCATTTGCACAGTCCTCTGCTGGTGGGCTTCAGAGGCCTCTTGGAATTCGTTTTAGTATCTTCCAATTTCTTGGAAACGTTCTATTGATTTTCTTTATGACTCACAAAATTATTTTGTGAATCCTCCGTTTATTTTCAAAAGAAAAAATGTAAGCTTAGCGTAACTACCACATTCTCTAAGGTAACAGACAGAGAGTTAAGTGGATATTTGCCGCAAACACAGACGAGTGTGATAATCTGGATTTGAAACCTCATCTGCCTTCGTAAACTCTGTGGCTGTGCTTTGACATCTTCTGAACACAGATCGGGGGAGAGCCATGTGATCCACCTGTCCACGGCATCATCCCTCCCACAGGTCAGCCTGGCTGTCTTGGAATCTACCAAGAAGACTGCTGGAAAAACACAGGACTGACATGGCTGCGCTGTCCACACAGCAAGGCGTGGACTGGCATCCTAGTGTGCGTGTGTGATTAAATGGGACCCAGTACTTCAGTTTCCTCCTGGCTTTCTAAATTATTGGATAGAATGTTGTATCATTACTTCTAGGTTGTTGCCTTCTTATTAGCATGTAGAAACCCAGATTGTACGTCTCAGACTTCCTTTTTAGGACTTGGGTCCTAGGTAGAATAAATATGCCGACAGCCATGCCAAAGTAGAATTTACTTACATCGTTGCATTGCAAAGCTTTTAACTCTGTGTTTGATTTTTGCAGTCTTCCTGTAAACCGTGTTGTTTGGTTATACCACTTCTGATATTTTTAAATGTCCATTTGGTTTTACTTAACTTAGTACAGTTATATAATGTATGTGCTTAGGCGTTCTCTTGAGAAATGCAGAAACCCTGCTAGTCCCTTGCACAGAAGCTCTGTTTAAAATAAAAGCTGAAACAGTCTGTATGAAGAGTGAATATTCTATTTCCTGAGAACATGGGATCCATAATTCAGTCACCTTAGTATTTATGCATCATTACTTTTATTTTATTATAAATTTATTCATTTTATTTATTTATTTTTGGCTGCGTTGGGTCTTCGTTGCTGCGCACGGGCTTTCTCTAGTTGTGGCAAGCGGGGGCTACTCTTCGTTGCGGTGCATGGGCTTCTCATTGCGGTGGCTTCTCTTGTCACAGAGCACTTGCTCTAAGTGCGCGGGCTTCAGTAGTTGTGGCACGTGGGCTCAGTAGTTGTGGCTCGCAGGCTCTAGAGCACAGGCTCAGTAGTTGTGTCGCACGGGCTTCATTGCTCCACGGCATGTGGGATCTTCCCGGACCAGGGCTCGAACCCGTGTCCTCTGCATTGGCAGGTGAATTCTTAACCACTGCACCACCAGAGAAGTCCCAATGCATCATTAATTTTAAAAATACTGCCTTCAGGGAAAACTTATCTAATGGGTAAGCAATGCATAAATAGAAGTACTTGATAGGATAAGGTTAAGAATGAAATCCCCCCCCTTATTTTGGTTGATTGTGGAAATGATGTCAAACTGCTGATTAGCACAAGAACCCTAGTACATGCGCTGGGCGGAGAAAGGATAATAAGCTTTTCATCGTATTCATTTCTTGAAAATTTGAGCAGCTTGTGTGGAGAGTGAGAAGGGAAGAGAAATTGCTTAAGTTGCCGGCACACACATTACTATTTCAGCTAACAGAATGCACAGATGTGGCACAGACGTGTGCAAGGTAGAGAGTCTCACCAAAAAGACCCTCGACTTCCAGAAAGCTCTCCCTTCCTCAGCAGCATGCTGGGAAAACAAGAGCAAACAATGTTCCTCCTAGATGGCCGTGACCTCTGCTTATCCACCTAAGGAAGACATCGAAGAACGCTCCCCTTAATGCTCTTGTACTAGGATGGCTTCGGGTCTGGTACTTTGGTTCCCATTTTATATACAAAGTGAGGTACAGGAAGTGGGTCGTTTTGGCGAGGACCACAAAGACCAATCAAGACCAATCAGAGCCCATCTGGTTCCTATTCTAGGCATTGTCTCATCCCATTCCAGCAGAGATGAAATTGGTTGCAATGTATAATTTGAAATTGTTAGACCATAGAAAACATGGATCAAGCAAGATATACCTACTAGTACTCCATCATGTGGTAAAAGGGAAGACAAGTTTTAATAATAAAACTTGAATCCTAACTCAGAGTCTTTGAAGTGTATGGTGTTGTTAAAGTTTATATGAGAATAACATTTCCTTGGCCAGGGCTGGCTGCACGTAGAGTTCAACTGCAAATGCACCAGGTACGTTGTAACCTGCATGCTTTGTGCATAAGGACCTGCGGCCCAGGTGCGCCGTTTAAGTAGAACAGAATGCTATCAGCACTTCTATTTATACAGAACAGAGTTTTGCAATGGATGATACTGTCCTTAAAATTAGGGCAAGGTACATTTATTTGTACCGTATCTCACAAGGTTACACAAAGACATCATATCACATCAATTAAATGAAAAAAAAAGATGGGGAAAGGGAGGGAAAGTGAACATGGCATCTCTGAGAAACGTCAGCGTGGATGAGCTGCATGTCTCCCACCCGCCAGAACAGGATTTCTCTTTTGGGAAATCTCTCCTGGCAGGGACAGAGGTTGCCAGGTTTACACCTCAGTGGTTTAATTCGTTGCTCTTAGACATGATGATTATGAGATTTGGGGGGAGGGGCGCTGTTGGCGCTTCTGGACGCTAGTTGTGTTCAAAGGGTCTCTTCCCTCATTCTCTTTTCAGACTTTACTCCATCTCCCTATTTTTTGTTCCCACACTTGGTTCCTGACTTCTGCCTGTTTCCCTGTGTGCAGCACACACCTGGGTCCAGTTTCTCCAGAGCAAGAACTTCTGCCCCCCATGGGGTGGGAGAGGGGAGTCACCCAGCTGCGGGGGTCAGATGTGGCACCCCAGCTCTCCTTGTACGCTTCCAGCCCCTGTGTGGGACCCTGCAGCTGCCCCGGCTCCCAGGGGCTTGGGGCCTCTCGGGGGCTTTGGAGGCAGATCAGCTGGGATGGAGCCCGCGTCGCCCCCGTTAGCACTTCTCCCGTCTGCTGCCTGGAACCTGCCCTTTCCAACCTGCTGACGTCTCGTCTCTGCCGCCCTTGATCCAGCTCTCTTTGTGCATTTAAAAATTACTCCCCTACTGTCGTAACAGGGGCTTAAGAGAAAATCACAAGAATACGTATGAAGCCATCGCCTTAAACTGCACTCTGTGTGTGTAGACATATGTGTCCTATGGGTATGTATACACACACACACGTGTGTGTGTGTGTGTGTGTATAACAGGTTGATGAAATTTTAGTAAACCTACTTCTCGAGAGGAACTCAGTCAGAAATCAGTTCCTTGGAAGAAGCTTAGTGTATAAAAGTAGATATGTCATCCAAATGTCATAGGACGTCTGGAATGAAAAGCAATCGAAAATCCTAGTTTCTCTGACAACAAGCATTCTGGTATCTGGGGATACCTACGTGCAGCCTGTCGAGAAAGCATAACCCACTTGAAGCAGAACTGAATCTCTGTGTAAGTCAGCACCACCCACGTGCCCAGCACAGCTGACGTGGCAGGATTATTCAGATACTGCCAGGCTGCCTTTGAGACCCATGAAACTAGGTTCCCTGAGGGGCTCCTGGCAACAGCACGCCCCTCAGCTGACATGTCCCCATGGAGAACAAATGCTTGTCGTCCTATATCACTGGGATATGTGACCTTATTGAGGTGAAAGCTGACACACCAGACAAGATTTTGTTTGCTCACCTGTCATTACATAAATAACTGATCTGGGCCTGCTTTTAATTGACCTCACTCAGAAGCTTTCACTTTTTCTTGGCGGATCATTGTTTAAGTTGTATTTTACAATAGTAAACTAGAATCATTTGAGTAACTAATAATAGTTTTAAAATATCAAAGTATTGATTATTTCAGCTTCCCAGGGCAGAGACATCTCTTGACAGTAGAGCTTTTAAAAAAAGTCATATAAGAATTATTTATTTGGCCTGCTGGCATACTTCAAAGTGCTTTTTTCCCCCCCTGCCATTAGTATATTGAAATATAACATTCTTCAAAATAAACATTCTCTTTATGAGTAATAGTTTATGAATTTTATTTGTTTTTCTCAGTGGGAGGAGCCACATTGATAAAATAAACCTACTTGTTTAAAGCATTTGTAAAGAGAGGACTTGCCTGTCCCCTTAAGGATGATTTATGCAGAACATCAGGCTTTGCAGTGGCAGCTGTACTAGTTTTTTTTTTTAAATCAGAAAACTTCAAGCAAAAAATATTGATTTTTTTTTTTTTTTTTTACTTGCTGGGTTCCTATCTTCCTATAGGTCTCCTAATTATAATTTTTAATGACAATATTCTATAGAGAGTGAAAATATAATAGTCTTTGCCATTCCTCTATTGCTGTTCCTTTACTACTCTTTTTCTTTTTTTTTTTTTTTGCGGTACGCGGGCCTCTCACTGTTGTGGCCTCTCCCATTGCGGAGCACAGGCTGCGGACGCGCAGGCTCAGCAGCCATGGCTCACGGGCACATCCGCTCCGCAACATGTGGGATCTTCCTGGACCGGGACATGAACCCGCGTCCCCTGCATTGGCAGGCGGACTCTCAACCACTGCGCCACCAGGGAAGCCCTACTATTCTTATTTTAAATAATTTTTTATTACTATATGGTATTTTCATGTTCGTGTATGTTTTATCTTCTTTTATCATTTCCTTAGGGTGTGGCTAGGAGTGGACTTATTTTCTGACCTCACATCCAAGCCTCTAAGCCCCACACCTTCCCTCCTCCGTCCCGTCACGTGAAGGAGCGTGTCCCATTGCTGCCGATCCCTTCCTTCCACCTTCTCAAAGGCTGTTCCCTTCATTCCTGAATTCGCTACATTCACCTTCTACTTACAGTGTTTATGGCACTCAATCATTCTGCAATGATGAAGAAAAGAGCTGCCATAAACTCTTCTGTGCAGAGAACAACAGCTAATAAATGCAGAAGAAAGGACAGAATTAGAAAAAAATCACATTTTACGGTTAGAATATGAACCACTTTGTAATAATTGACTCAAGCAAGGTTTATCAATAGATAACAAAATTATCAGGTGGAAGATTTATTGGGAACAAGGATATTTGTGTGATGCCAAAATATCGCTCCAAAGATTACTTGCTAATTTCAAGGATAGAAGATATACATGTATAAAGGAGGAATCTGGTGGTATTATCAAGGAATCAAATTTAGCATGACTAATGACAGGACAACCTGACATTAAGTGCTGTGTGATACTGTGCACTGTAACTTATACATACATGTATGCATACACACATACTGTGCACTCCAACACACACATATATACATGTATGCATACATACATACCGTGTACTATAACATATACACACATATTGCATTCACACATAATGTACACTATAACATATACATACATGTGTGCATACACATATACTGTGCACTCTAACATATATACATGTATGCATACACACATACTGTACACAGCATCACTGTGGCATGTTTAACTGTAATTTAATCAGACATTTGACTAACTTCTGGTTAACAGAGAAAAACCAAGAAAGGACCCAAGAAAATATTTGAAGAGATTATAGTAGAAAACTTCCCTACCATGGGAAAGGAAATAGCCACCCAAGTCCAGGAAGCACAGAGAGTCCCAGGCAGGATAAACCCAAGGAGAAGCATGCCGAGACACGTAGTAATCAAACTGACAGATTAAAGACAAGGAAAAATTATTGAAAGCAACAAGGGAAAAACGACAAATAACATACAAGGGAACTCCCATAAGGTTAACAGCTGATTTCACAGCAGAAACTCTACAAGCCAGAAGGGAGTGGCATGATATACTTAAAGTGATGAAAGGGAAGAACCTACAACCAACATTACTCTAGCCAGCAAGGATCTCATTCAGATTCGATGGAGAAATCAAAAGCTTTACAGACAAGCAAAAGCTAAGAGAATTCAGCACCAC